AGTGTGTTTATTAAACATGCGGCAAAAGTTTGAGGGGCCATTCCTTGGACTATTTTTAGGATATTTTGTCCTTTGATGATTTTTGATAGGGCATTTTCTTTCGAATATACGGAGCGAAAAAAAAAATTCGACAATTTATTACCAAAAATTACATGTAATGTTTCTTAATCTAGAAGAACGACTTTGGAACTCTTTTAAACACCAGGATCGTTTCTGATTGTGTTACCCCAAGCAAATTGAATGTCTGCAGATGTTTGTAGTAATCGGAATGTTGTTGATAGATACCGACGGAATTGTTAGATTTTTTATTACTTGGTAGGTCCGCTATACTTTTATTTCGGCTAAATAATTTTAAAATTACCAAAATTGTTATTGTTGAATTTCTTCTTTGTCCCGTATCTTCGAAACAAAGCGCCTTATCAAATCATCAAAAGACAAAATATCCTTAGGAATAGTCCCTTAATTTTTTGTCGCATGTTTAATAAACACCCTGAACCATGATTCATTATTGTGTTTTTATTGCAGTTTCCTGCTAAAAATATGATGATATTGAAGGATGAATGAATCTTAGATTTTTTTAGTTTCAGTAAATCATATTTTGCTCTCATGGTTCAAATAGGTAAAAAAGAAAAATATACTAAAGTTACGTACCTAATTATGTTTAACATAAGTAATAAAAAAGTTGTAATATTTTTGTTAATTACCAACTGATTTTGAAAAACATATTTTTTCCATTTAATAATGTCGCCAAAAATCGGAGTCTTTCTCCAAAAAAAATTATATGTGAAACCTCCAATTAAAAACGAAAAACCCTGTCCACCGCGAAATCTGGACACTGAAAAAACCAACGCATTTTCCAAGACGGATCTACCAAGAATCAACCATCCCAACGCTTAGTTTTCACGTCTCAAATCAGCAAACACGGGCAGAAGGAAATGTTTTTAAACTATTGATTTTTCTTGATTGTGAATCATGCCAGAGTAACGACGCCTAACAGTACAGTCAGCGCTGAAAATTTCGCATGACGGGAGTGAAATTCTCCAGCTCTGCAGGGTTGCCAGATCTAAGACTCCATAAACAACTGAAAAAAAACTACGTCGTTTTTGATATTTGAAATACTTTTGACCTAAATATTTCGTTTTAGAATGGCATAGTAATTTGATATTGGCTGAAAAGTTGAACTCACAAGTTGCTGGAAATCGCAATGATAATATACGGGGTGGTCAAAATATTCTGTTCAAGAAAATATCTTCAAGAAAACAGCATTAACTGAGTTTTACAATGTAAGGGCGTTTATATCAATTTTAAAAATATATCAGACCAGTAAATGATAACCTTAATATATATACGAATTCAGCTCTCCATTTTAAGTAAACAAGAATACACTGAAGCACGTGTTTAGTTTTGTTAACTGTCATGTGAAAATATCAACGTTGAGTTGTTCAATACTTTCAAAATATCATCTTCTTAGCCAAGCAATAGATTGATAGATATTCAACCTAACATAGACATAGAAAAACACAATAAGTGGAGCTCATTTTGAAAAATATTATTACTTGAGATTATGATACTTGTGATGCACTATTTGGAACCTTTGGTACAGTAATGAATATTGGTGGAGTTTGATCCCAACACCAAACCGTTATTTCAACACCTCAACACGTGTTTCGATCACCAAGTGATCATCTTCAAGAGGAAGATTGAACTCAATTTAGTCGTCCTTCCACAATCTGAAAAGCTCGATAAAAAACGCTTGATTTCCTTCACAAAAAATGACTTTTGGTCAATACTATTATTGATCCGCACTTTGGATAACTTCTAGTCGAACAACAATAAAATTGTTCGAAACTCTACCTTTATCTGTCTGAAAATTTCACTAACCAATCAACTACCCACTGCTCCTCATTGCTCCTGATAACAAAATTAGGGTAACAATGATTGGCACAAAGCCCAAAAGAAAAAGGGACGAGGTTTATTCAACAATTATTATTCACTTTTCTTTATTTAGAAAACCTCTGCTACAAGTGAAATCTACTAGTATTTTTCTGATTCTAAGTTTATTTTTTCATATTCATGTAAATTTCACATCCTACAAAACGGGGTTAATAAGTTAATTTTCTGAAATCTGAAAATGATTTAGTGGAATTTCAAAATATCACTTGTGGGCGTATCAGAAATAATTTCAAACATCTGTGAGTCGGTAAATACAATAATCAATCTAAATCTGTCAAAATATACTATTTACATATAAATTATTATTTAATAAACTGTTGAATAAATCTCCTTTTTTCAAACAAGGTTGTTACTTGCCGAAAATAGACTATTGTTGATATTAGTTCTCTGATATGATATGGAAAATGATTGTACATTCAAATAACACTTTTAGTACCGAATCTCATAGGAATGGCTGGTTACAACTTTAATTCACTAGTTTGGCGAATATAACATTCATCACGTATTATATTAATACATTTATGATGAGTAAAGAGAGATTCAAACAAGGTTATGTCAAAATATACTGCTCTTTTTACAAATAGTGATTTTTTTTTAGCAAAAAGTTAACACTTTGAGACTGCAAACTTTTACATTCCAAAATTAATTTCTTTTTTCTAATAATCTCTTGTATGACGTGTAAAAATTGCCTGTCTCACTCACGAAAATCATTAAGTTTTTTCCATTACTGAAAGAATGGAAATGAAACATTCGTTATATATTACTCATAAATCTAAGTTCTGCTGAAAATGCCGCCGACTTGGCAACGCATTCGACCGTGACCTAACGGCGACGAGGAAATGCGTTGCGTTACGCACTGGTTGGGCATGCGCGTTGGTCCTTTCGCCAAAAAGCTTTTTCGTGACGTGTGCATGCGCTTTTCGATGCGTCACCGCTCTCCGTATACAAACAAAGCTTTGTTTTCTTTATTTTCCTCGGCTTCGCTTGCCGTAAACGATGAAAGATGATGCCGTTTATGTTCGGAAGTTTCATTCATATGATGGTCTTAAAAAGCCGAAGTTTGCGGAAAATGATTGGGAAAACGGGGTAGTAAGCAGCGCTGGCTATATATTTTATGTTTTGTTTTATAACGATGAAAAGGTTAACGAGACACATGTATTATAGACAATCAAATGCATTTACTTACTATTTTTATTTGACAAGATTTTTGATAGATTATAGTAAGTCATTCATACATTCAATTTTACAACAAGAAATCGGGAATTCAAGATGAGAGAGGCTCGATGGCTTGTTTATCAGACCATTCAAATGTATATTTTATTAAAAATTTTTTACAATCAAGTTTCTCAGAATTATACGAACTTCTGAGAAAACTCTGACATTTTTATGTTTCTAATAAACACTTCCCTCATCACTAAAGTAATGTTTTATTCAATATCCATCAGAAATGACGATGTTCGCCACATATTGTTCACAGATTCTTGAGACAGTTTATACATTCTTTTGACTTTCTCAGCAGGAACCCAGCAGGAACACCGCAGCTATATGCGGTGAAAACTAAGATTTGGTCTGCCTCTTTCAAAAGTATTTTCTTCTCATTATTTTTCATTCAGATGTACATCATATAATATCTCATATATCCATCATCCTATGAAACGAAACAGGGGCATTACTTAAGCCAAATGACATCTTGAAATAACAAAGAGGCCGAAGTCGTGAAATTTGTTTGGTCGTGATGAGAAAGATTTACTGAGATTTGATTATATTCGGAGCTAAAATATAGATTAGACATGTTAAGTGTTGTTAGCAACATGAAAAAGGTCACCAATCACTGCTGCAATGTTAGAATCTTTGGTGAAAATTAGGATTTGGACTGCCTCTTTCAAGAGTATTTTCTTCTCAAAATTTTTCATTCAGATGTACATTATACAGTATCTCATATATTCTTCATCCTATGAAACGTAGCAGGGGCATTACATAAACCAAATGACATCTTGAAATAACAAAAAGACCGAAGCCATGAAGTTTGTTCGGTCGTGATGAGAAAGATTTACTGAGATTTAATTATATTCGGAGCTAAAATATAAATTAGACAAGTTGAGTGTTTTTAGCAGCATGAGAAAGATCACCAATCATGGCTGCAATGTTAGAATCCTAAGTGAAAACTAGAATTTGGTCTGCCTCTTTCAAGAGTAATTTCTTCTTATTATGTTTCATTCAGATGTACATTATATGTGTATCTTATATATCCATCATCCTATGAAACGTAGCAGGGGCATTACTTAAGCCAAATGGCATCTTGAAATAACATGAAGGCCGAAGTCATGAAGTTTGTTTGGTCATGATGAGAAAGATTTACTGAAATTCAATTATATTCGGAGCTAAAATATAGATGAGACATGTTAAGTGTTGTTAGCAGCATGAAAAAGGTCACCAATCATTGCTGCAATGTTAGAATCATTCAGTTTTTCAATGTGATGAGTTTGATATATTTGTTACCTATCCATACAAAGAAGTAACATTACTATTATTCTATGGAAAACACTCTCAACACCAGAACAAAAATTACGGTCTCTCGACGCTAACTTTGAGGCTGACAACTTATGGAATTAGACAAAAAGACTGAATAACTCTAACGGGACTTTACAGGAGGTATTGCTTTTATAAAAATGGCCGATCAGAAAGGGTGAGTCGTTTCGGCTGCGGCAGCATTTTCTTTGCTGATGTCAAAATCTGCTCTATGGAAGGCTTGAAGGAATGGCTGCTTACAACTGTAATTGCTTACAACTGTGATATCAAGAAATTGCCTTCAGAAAACTGATCAACTTCTCTCTAAGGTCTCAGCATTCTGAGATTCGAAGCGTTATACACAATAGATTAGATCAGATTAAATTTTTTATTGGTCAAGTTATTACACCTTAGTGCTATGACAAGTCAATAATGGCACCTTTCTAAGAATTCTGAAGAAGTCATTAGATAATTAGTTTATTTTTGATGTAACAATTGCACTTTCCTACTGTATAAATGGATTCTCCATAATTTTTCAGATATTATTTTTATAAGAGATAATGTACAAAGGATAACGCTATTTTTATACGAAACATAACAGTACAAATACAACAGAGTACAAAGCATCACCAAACTCAGCGAAATTCAGGATAACCACAATGACAATAACGGCTACCAATCTTCTGTGAACCCGACCCAGCTCCAACCCTCCGTACCGCAAAAGAAATCTGACGAAAAAAATGATTTTCAGTTGACGATGCGTACCTTACACCATGAGTGAAACTCTAAGCCAGGACCCGGACGGGTTAGGGGTCGCATACACGACCCTGGCGCCGTCTTATCCGGCTCCTGGAACTCCCAGTTCTACAGTGCAGGACGCACCCCCAGGGGCGAACCTTCCTCCTTTCTCGACTTTCTCCTCGGACATGGACTCCGGAGGAGCTTTCAGTTCGGTCTCCGACAGACTTTTCAGTGATACTCGGCTCCTAGACATATCAAACTGGGACTATTACACGGAGGCGCGGTTGCTGGATAGGGGGGACAACTCCCTGTCCATCATCACCTCCCAGCCCCAGTACCGGCCGTGGGAATCGAAGCCGATCGACGCGTCGACGTCTTCGTACGCGGCCACCACCCCCGTGAACACCTTCGCTGACGCTTTCGCCCAGCAGAACGGCGCTTCGAAGCTGCCGTCCTTCCAGTCACAGTTCCAGAGCTTCAACGAGCCGGTAACCACCAGTGAGACGACGCTGACGACGCTCACCAACTTGACGCCCGTGTCGCCCAACCCTGCTAGTCCACAAAGCTTAACCCCCTTGAACTCTAATTTCCACACCCTAAGTGCTGTTAACGTCAACCCGCGTAGCTATCCCCTGGTGCCGGCGCCTATCCAGGCTCGGGAGATCCCCTCCATCCAGCAGCAGTTCCTCGACGAGAGGCATATCCAACTGTACTCGCATCCTCCGGCGAACATCACCCTAAACAATGCACTGCATCCCACGTTCCTCAACAGCCAGAACGGAGCCATCATCCAGAACAACCAGCTAATCTCTTCACCGACGGTGGTGACGGTGATCAAGTCCGAACCGGACCTCAAGCTCACCACGCTGCATCAGGATCAGATCAAGATCCAAAACTTACACCCTACGCAGTTCCAGAACCCCATGACGCAGATCCAGAACAGTGACGGGGCCATCTACAACGGCATCGAGAAAAAGATTAACGGGAACATGACTTCTCCGACGCGGAACGATTTCCGGAAGAAGGAGAGAAGGAAAATTCGCACTTCTAGTCTGGAAAGCTCATTGGACAGTGACGGGGCTTCGAGCAACATGGAAATCGGGTCGGAAAACTCGGGGCAAGTGGCCGCGGTTTCGAGCACGGCGGGCTTCAAGGCCCACCAGATGCACGTGAATAGTTCCGTGGACATGGATACGGACATCAGTGGCGGTAGCGTGGACAAGCAGGTGAAGAAGAAGAGGAAACGGTGCGGCGAATGCATCGGGTGCCAGCGAAAGGACAACTGCGGGGACTGCGCACCCTGCAGGAACGACAAGAGTCACCAAATCTGCAAGCAGAGGAGGTGCGAGAAACTCACCGAAAAAAAGGTTAGTGGATTTTTTGTATGCTTTTGATTCTCATAAGCACATTTCTGTGAAACTAACATTTATATCTGTCAACCTATAAGAACTGGTGCCCATTTTGGTATTTTTTGTATTATAATTTATTGTAGAAACTATAAGTACCTCTATCTTTCAATAAAAAATGAATTCGGTCTAAGAGAAAATCAGATTTTATTTAGAGAAAATGCTCTTATTTGAAACAAGATAAAATGCATGTTCAAAACAAGAAATGGGCAAATTTGAATCAACGTGGAGGATTTTTCAGTTTAAATTAATATACACTCGCAGAGCTCGACAAATGTAATAATTCATGTGTGAGAAATTACGTAACATTGTTATAATTTTCTCAAAATGCCAAAATGTAGGCACTGCCTACAGAAACATAAAACACTTCCTCCTCAAAAACGCGACACACCAACATCACTTTCCAACACATACTGGCGCGTACGCGATGCTTACAACGGAATTCCCCGCTCACCTCTCACTTAAGACGGTCATAGAAAGACCAGAGCACCACAGGTTTTTTCAAACTGAAATGAATGAAATACTTCTTTAAAAGAAACCCTGTTCATTCGATACAAAATTTCTGTTATTTTCAGTCGATCATGTATGTAGTTTTGTATGTAGATTCACAAAACTCTTGTTATAAAACGAATTGAGTTATTTGAAGGAATACAGTATTAAATTCAAACGAACACTATGTGTTCAGATCAAGTTGATATTGCTCTTTATTTGAAACAGTTTATTTTTCCCTTCAAATATATGATATTATATTTTCTTGATTCAAAATAGTTCATCTTCGCAAAGATATAATCAAACGAATGATGTCGTTGAAAGGCCAAGAAATTTGATTTCTTTGTTGAAAAAAGTGTGATTTTCTGGTGGAACATGGTGATGTTGGCATGAAGTAATAGTTTTTCCAATAGAGATAAAAATTTCAAAGCAACCTATGATCTTCTTTTAAAGAAATACTTTTTAATGTGCATAAGCTAAACAAGTAAGCCATTTTCAATATATTTTGTTTCTTTATATGCCGTTAATATTTCATTATTCCGAATGTCCAACTTGACGTATGTTTTCATCTTTTTTAACCGTTCACCAATATACCACCGCTATAACAGCTCACTAATATACCAAACTCAAATAATTTATTCGCAAATAAATCCTAGGTACTTCCAACGTCCTTCAAACTTTGAAACTCATGCCCTTTCAAAGACTATAGTGAAAAGTAATCCCGGTATCAAAAATCGTCAATTTATTCGTCGGATTTATTCCGGCTACTCCCATTCAAATCTGAGACCGGAGCAAGCGAAAGCTTTGTCAATCGTAGGTATAAATTTTGCTGGCCTCGTATTACACACGCATACACACATACGCATTTGCTGGGGAATAATTGGGACGGTCCATGTGTGGAATTTAAGGGATGTAGGGTGACTGCAAGCACACGCACGATTCGCAGTGTTTCAGGGATGGAAGTAGAAATGGCGATTGGCTGATTGGGATGATTCTGATTTCAACATTCAGTTTTATTATGATACATTGGCTCAACGTGAAAAGATTATACTTGACGTTTGGCTAAACCTGCGTCAGTCATGATTTCATAAAAAGTTCAAAACATCAGTTGAACATGTAAATGAGGCATTTAAAGACGTAATTATTACAGAGCAAATGAAAGTAGTTTGGGAGGAAGGGTATCATTGACAACAATAAACTTCAAAACGAAAATATTTCGGAATTTTTGTTATTGAGAGAAATCATATGAAACGTCAAATAGTCTGAATTGATATTTCATTATCATTGTGACTATAATAATAATAATTATTTATCAACCATTGTTGCTACACTATATATGCTGATAGATGATTACATATTCAATTGTATCTTCATGGGTTGGAAAGTTCCGGGCCTAAAAAAAAAGCGTTTTTTTTTTGTTCAAAATTAGCTTTATTATTCAACGTAATCTCTATCAAGAGTCACACAATCATTCCAGCGCCGTTTTAATATTCTAATATCACTTTTGTGGAACGATTCATCTTTTGCCCCAAAATAGGCCTTAGTTTCAGCATTCGAGCAAAATTTCTTACCGACGAGCATTTTTTGAGATCTGCGAACAGCCAATAGTCGCTGGGACTCAAATCTGGCGAATACAGTGGACGTGGGAGCAATTCGAAGTTCAATTCATATAGTTTTCTAATATTTTGTCGGGTATTTTCCATTCACTGAAGTTGTTAGAAACTTATATCCAACAAGTAAAGAGACCTGAAGAATATTAAGAGGTATTAACAGATGTAAGGTACAACAAAATAAAAATTATCAATACTAGTTTTCGGCAATATGGCAAAAATAGTGCACGCAGCTTGTATAATTTGTATATATTTTAGTGAAAGTGCTCATTTTTTTAGTGAAAACTAAACGTCATTGTTTTCGAAAACAAAAAAAGGTTGCTAGGCAACACATTACGGTATCAGGTACCGTAATGTTCGGTTCACCGATTGCAAATGAGTGAAGGGTAAATTGATTTAATAGATAGAAGGAAATACAAGGTATTTTATTTTCATTCGGTAACGCTTGAAATTGATTTTCAGCAGATATTTCCTATTTTCTCAACAAAATTGAAAAATAGAAGCAGTTTACAAATTACTTTCGCTGCAAGGACTAGTTTCATAGTTTCACCAACATTTCTTTTTTTTTTCTACAAAATAATAGTTACAAAGATTTTCATCGCAGACGATTTATCTTTCGTTAGATATACACACGGTATTGAAAATAATACCCAATCTTGGACCAGGGCAGCGTAAAGAAAAATCAGGCGGGAAGGGAATCCAAATTTTCCCAACCCCAACCCCAGTTTTCGAAAAAGTGAAAGCCGAGGGATTAGTTACTACTATAATATATTATACTTAGCTTAGCTATCCAAAGATTGGCTGAATGGTTATGCCCGTTAGAGTAATTATAAAAATAATAATGGGAATTATTCTACTTTGGACCAATATCCTTGGTCTTTCACGATATTCACCATGTATAGGAATATTCAATACAAGAAAGGAAACAACACTTAAATAATATTGTGCTTATTGTTTTCTACTATTATTTTCTCTATCTCACGGCCCGAAATTTCCCAACTTTTCCAAGTCGAAAAAACAGCGAAAAGTTGGGAATTTTGTAAAATTGACACTTCAAAATTTGTGGACTGTTCAGGACCGTTCTCTTACTTGGGAGAAGGTAATTTTTTTTTAAGTTTTCAAACAACTCTGAATTCCAAGTTATGTATGTTGGGAAATCCCAACCTTCTTCTGGTTCTTTCCCTTTTCTTATCACCTCTCCCTTTCTTTTCTCTCATTCTAATTTTTTTCATGTTTATTCACTTTTTAATTTTTTTTTTATCTTCACGGCCCAACATTTCCCAAGTCGAAAAAGCAGGGGGGGGGACATTCCCCCCATCCCTCCCATGGCGACGGCCTTGCTTTGGACCCAACACTCTTCATCAAGAAAATTCATGTATGGAAGTTGTTCAAAAGTAGAATTCAAAATTATCCAAAGAGAATATCCAGATTATTTATCATAGACATCACCACAAATATTTTTACATATTAGCGAGATGTGGATTGTCAGCCTAAAGGATTTTTTCAAGGAAAAAAGGAAAAATTTTGAGTTGATGATTGAATTTCGTTTCATATATATTCATTGTAAAAATATTTTATTGCCTATTCACCGGAAATATCATGTAAGAATATTGAAAAATATTCAATTAAACTAGATCATCAAAATTAATCTTCTAAAGATAGTTCCTGATCTATATACCTTATCTGTAAAATTTTCGGTTTATGATTGAATAATTGAAAAGAACTGGCCTGAAAATCCATATTAAATCTAATTAATATAGTTTTTTAATTGATTTTCACTATGAGTATCATACTTTGAAATACGGAACAGTTGTCCCGCAAGAGGGCGCCGAAATGAAAAGTTATAGTTTATCGTTATGAAACTACATTTTCAATAGTGTGTCACACTTAGTAGGTACTTTTTCTAATCAAATTGTAAGGGTCACCAAGAGGCGGAGAAGGAGATATGACAGTTGAGGTCATGATGTCCTCCTTGAATCAAAAATCAAAACAGTTTTTGCATGTCTTTCTCAACCAGTGTGTCTTGAAGATGAATTTGATTTTTTTGTTTTCACAAGAAAAAATTACCTCTCCATTGAACCTCATTGTGATAATGATTGAATATAATGGTTTTACCAAGATGCAGATATTTTCTATAGGGACTAGATCAAGCTAGCAGTGACTAGTGAAAATTCTATCAGAGAAAAAATATGATTTTGCACTACTGCAGCTAGAGCTGATGAACTTACAAGTAGTCGTTATAAGAAAAAAGTTACTGAGTATAAAATACTCATTTGGGTTAAGTAAGCTAACTTTCAGATATATCTGATAAAACATGAAGATGTTTACCAATGAGGATGACAGTGTTCCATGTAAGTCAAAATGTTTACCTTTCATTTAGTATATCGTCTATAACTGAACGTATCCAAATGTTGAATAACATCATTTACAACAAAAAAGCGAACTTTAATGTACGATTATTCAATCAACAAAACTACAATCAACCGCGTACATGAGATAAAAGATCATGGTACAACATACAACACATATAAGGAATATGACTGCTGATGCAAATAGGCTGCTTGGATTCATTTACAGAAATGGCAAAAACTTCAAAAGTATCGCCACCTTATAATTGCTATATTTTGCGTATGCCAGATCTAAATAGGAGTATGGATCTTTGTTATGGAATCCGGTTTATGACTATCAAAAAACATCAATTGAGAGCGTGCAAAGGAAGTTCCTAAAATACCTATGTCTAAAAGTTGATGGTCAATACCCCAGGAGAAACATTGATCATAACATTTTGTTGACACGATTTGATATGACATCTTTGGAAAATAGGACAGTTATCCTTTGTATAAAATTCCTGCATGAATTACTAAACAACAATATTGACAGTACGGTTCC